GCGGGAGAAAGATGAGGCTTTCTACTCCCGTAAAGATTTACACCCTCGGAAACCCTGTACAGGGTCGCTATGGGTCGGACCCGACTCGATGGCACTCAACAACAACAACAACAAATTGCTTTTAAGAAATATTTATTTATTTATGTATGTTATTGCTTTATGTGAGTGCTTTTTTCAATGTATGTACTCTGAAATTATCTTTCTTTGCTGATTTGATAGGAGAAAATAGCTTTGTTTTACTTTTGAAAGATTTCTTAAATGCTTAACTTCAAGAAAAGACAACTTCAATGGTTTTACTAATTTAACAGGACGGGTTCACAAAAGGAAATCAGAGACTAATGTGGATATTATTTTGAGGGTGGGAGTCCTGGTGTGGCACTCTAGGATAAGCACTCAACAGCAAGGTTGGTTTGACCCACACGGTTGATGATGGTTCAAACTCACCAGCCAATCCTCAGAAACTCTATACAGGGTTACTATGAGTAGGAACTGACTCGACTGCACTTAACAACAACATGCAAAACACCCAGCAAATTTATTTTCAACATTGAGAGCTAAAATGAACAGAAAGAAATACTGTTAATTGATGGTATATGCAGGATATTATATAATTATTATAATGAAGCAAGGTGTTTGATTTGCTGATTATAAAACTGATGATCTGCCCTGTAAACTTTCATTCAATGCACAACAAAAACCTTTAAAAAAAAAATTTTTTTTTCCAATAGTGATCTTTTCTGTCCAGAAGCCAGCCATAGTATGCTGCTGCTTTTTTCCCCCACTTCTATATACTCCACTAATCATTCCTAGTATATATGCTGTTTGTTTGGAATTCTGGTATGGCTCTGTGGGTTAAGTCACTGGACTACAAAGTCGGTTTGAACTGCAACGTTAGCAGTTCAAGTTCACCTGTTGCTCCATGGAAACCCTATACAGGGTTGCTATGGGTCAGAACCAACTCAACAGCACTTAACAACAACGGCAATACTGTTTATTTACTCACTCATTCAACAAGTATATATCAAATGCTCATAATTCAGCAGGCACTGCTCACATGCCTGTTGATGTTGTTAGGTGCCAGTTCCAATGTACAGAGAACCTATATACTATGACATATTACCCGGTCCTGTCCCATTCTCATAATCATTGCTGTGTTTGAGTCTGTCATTGAAGCCACCATGGCAATCCATTTCATTGAGGGTCTTCTTTTTTGTTGATCCCCTGCTTTAACAAGCATGATATGCTTCTCCCGAGACTGGTCCCTCCTGATGATATATCCAAAGTACCTGAGACAGCTTCATCATCCTTCCTTCTAACAAATATTCTAACTGTACTTCTTCCAAGATAGATCTGCTTATTCTTCTGGCAGTCTTTGGTATATGTAATATTCTTCACTAACACCTTAAATCATATGCATCAAGTCTTCTGCAGCATACCTTACTCGTTGTACAGGTTTTACATGCATATGAGACAACTAAAAACACCATGACTTCATTCAGATCACTTTAGTCTTCAAAGTGACATCTTGGCTACTTTACACTTCAAAGTGATCTTTTGCAGCAGTTTTGCCCAGCACACTATGTCTTTTCATTTTCTGACTGTGGTATCTATGGATGTTGATTGTGGACCCAAGTAAAATGAAATTCTTGACAACTTAATTTTTTTATCCATTTATTGTGATGCTGCTTATTGGTCTAGTTGTGAGGATATGTTTCTTCCTTAAGTTGAGGTATAATCCTTATTAAAAATTGTACTGTTAGATCTTTTTTCAGTTGGTGCTTGAATTCTTTTTTACGTTCAGCAAGCAAGGTTGTCCCAATAACATATATTGTATATTGTTTCATATACCTTGTTATTTGTTGATAAGTGCCATTGAGTTGGTCTGGCACACAGTGACCCCTGGCATAGTGTTTCTGAGGTTGTGCTAAAAATAATGCAGACACATTGTCATTGAGTTGGTTATGGCTACTGATGACTCTGTGTGTTGGCTGTAATCTTCATGGAACCAGGGTCTTCTTCACTGAGTCCACTTCTTCCTGAGTCCATTCCATGAGCTTTCCCCACTGGTACTACTACAATAGTAGTGATACCAATGGTTCTTGTGGCTTTCAAACCTGCCCTCCTGCCATCCATTCTCCATAAAGGAATCAAAGGAGTCTTTTCTAGCATAAATCACATCTTGTAACTCTGCTCTTAAAAAGATTTCTCATCGAATTAAACCAAAGTTTCTTTACATGGCCTATCTGGCCATAGATAATCTGGCTCTTTTCTACTCTCTCATCTCAATTCATTGGTTTTTCCTTGTTCCTTCTCTGATTCACCATACCTGTGTTGCCTTTTTGTTAAATTATCTATATTTGATCTTCCTTCTGCTTATGAAGGTCTGGAAGTTTTCTTGGCATGTTTGTTTGTAATAGTTTTTTTCTGGTTAGATTTCACCTCCTCTGAGAAAACATAGCCCTCCCATCTGCATATTTCTTTATCAAATCACCTTGCATTATTTTTATAATATTATTTATAACTATTTTAAATCAGTAATTTGCATTTTTTTTGTTTTCTATCTACACCCTCTGTAATCCCAACACCCAAAAGTCTGTCTGATAAAGAACAGGCTTTAAATAAATAATTGTTGAATGAATTTGTGATTTCTGAATGCAGGGTAAAATGATTTGACCAATTTAAACTATATGTTGCTCCTCCTGCTGCATACCGTAGACTTGGTTCCAACTCATAGTGACCCTGCATAGGGGTTTTGAGGCTGCAGATCTTTACAGGAGCACTGCTGCTAATCTTGTGGTTAACAGCCCAAAACATAGCTCATTATGTTACCAGGGTTCTCAAACCTATATTTTAGATGTCTAGTAGCATAGTGGTTATGAATCGGGCTGTGAACTGCAAGTTCAGCAGTTCGAAACTACCAGCTGCTCCTTCCGCAAAGATGAGGCATTCTGCTCCCGTAAAGATTTACAGCCTCGGAAACCCTGTACAGGGTCGCTATGAGTCGGGACCCACTCCACGGCACACAACAACAACAATAGAATGTTGATATACCTCCATGTCAAGTATACAATATGCATTATATTAATCCATAAATTAGATGTTTCTTAAAAACTTTATTGAACACTGATAAACAAACTACACTTTCCCCCAAACCTGAACATTATCACTTGCTTTCTTAGTAAATTATTCCCTAGCAAATTTTTACTATTCACATGGAGGCAAATGCAACACCACAGTTATTTCATCACAAATACAGTATCTCTAATAAATACCATCTGATTTCAGCATTTTTAAAGAAATTCCACTATGTTTTTTAAAATACTGTGTTTTTGTGAGTGCTAAAAGCAAGAAATGGGCAGATAGCGACAAGATTTAAAAATATAAATCTTAATGATTTATATTTGTTGTAGATTAGATATAGATTAACAAGGATCCTTAGTCATTCATGAACAAACATCTAGAGAAGAGCATTTATTATTTAGATGTGAATAAGAATTATGACGAATTGTTTCTTTTAAGTTTTAAAGAGACTATAAGTATTTTATGTAGCCCTGATAGCGTAATGAATTGCCAGCTGGGTTGCTAATCACAAGCTTAGTAGTTTGAATCTATCTGTTGCTTGTGGGAGAAAGATAAGGCTTTTTGCTCCTATAAAGATTCGTAGCCTCAGAAACCCTATACAGTCGCTGTGAATTGGAA